CGGCTGGGGCAGGGACAGGCCTGGGCACGTCGGGTTTCCCAGGGGTGGTCCAGTGCTGAGGGTGGTCTTTGGGGGTTGGTCCTATTCTGAAGGTGGTCTCCGAAGGGCCATCCTGTCTCCAAGGGGTGGTTCTACTCTCAGGGTGGTCTCCAGGGGTCGATCTTACTCTGAGGGTGGTCTCTGGGGGACCGTCCTACTCTCAGGGTGGTCTCCAGGTGGTGGTCCTACTCTCAGGGCGGTCCCTGGGGTCGGTCCTACTCTCAGGATGGTCTCCAGGGGTCGGTCCTACTCTCAGGGTGGTCTCCAGGGGTTGGTCCTACTCTCAGGGTGATCTCCGGGGGTCAGTCTCACTATGAGGTGGTCTCCGGGGGTCAGTCTCACTATGAGGTGGTCTCCGGGGGACAGTTGTCATGAGGGTGACTGTGTGGTGTAGTGTCCCTCTCCCTCCTGCCCGGTGGCTCTCCCTCTGGCTGCAGGCCCCCTGCTGCTATAGGAGCCTTTTGGCTCTGGTTCAGTGGGGGCCGCTCTTTGCAGCAGGTAGGGCCTGGGCCTCACGGTGAAGCGCGGTCACCATGAGCGTTGACAGTCCTCCTTGCCTTTCTGCAGCGGGCAGATGGCATGGTGTGTGCACAGTGCAATGGGGAGATGTGGCGGTGGGGTGGGGGCCCTGGCTTTTTGTGGTTGTTTGTAGAAAGCCCCGTTACCTTGCGGACAGCCAGAGCGAGGACGAGGGGCCGCGCGAGGAGGTGAGAAGCCACAGGGAACTCTGCCGACGCCTTTTCCATCCTTCCATGCGCTGCTGTTCGGGGCCGTGGAGACAGACTGTGGGAAATGATATTTCCCTCCTCCTGTCGCGTGGGGCTGGGGCCAAGGACTGGGGACTGTGGCTCCTCTCGGGCTCCCTCAGGTTGTGGGCCCAGCCAGGGGTGTCTGGTTCTGGGGGCCTCTTTGCCTCCTTGGATCCCTGGGGTGCTGGCCTGCTGGCTGTTCCTGGGGGTTCAGAGACTGTACCTCAGCTGCACCAGCCTGTGGCGGTGGTGTGGGGTGTGTGCCGTTTCCCTGTCTGGGCCAGGAATGGGCTGTGCTTCTTCTTGTCAACTTTTTCTATGACACCTGCGTGTGGTGACCACTTGGCCCATGGGGTGGAGTGACAAGGGGCAGCGCGGGGGTCAGGAAGCCCGGGCTGTATTTGGGGTCTTTGGGCTGAGCGAGCGGCTCTCCGCATGCATCTTGTTTGTGATGTGGGGTGATGGTGCCCTGCTCCCCCCACAGGGGACGACGTGTTGACAGCACGTGATGCTGACCCTAGGCTTTGCTGTGGGACAAGGGATGTAGGCCTGGGAAGAGAGTGTCCCCCGAGACGGCAGGGGCTAGTGCCGTGTGGGTGAGTGTATAGCCCTGTGACAGGACAGGGTCCATGGGTTCCCGCTCTCATGGCCTCATTCCTTTGCTCAACAACATTCCTGGGAACCTGGGTGAGTCAGACCCTGGTCAGGACACTAGGAGGTGACACGTGGCCAGGCTCCCCTTTGTCCTGAGGAAGACCACCCTGGCTGTGGGGGGGAGGCAGCTATGAGCAGGTGGAGAGTCTGGAGCTCTGGAGGGGGCCCTGCCAGCGGCCTGCTCTGGGGAGGCTGTGGGTGCAGATGCTCTGGCCGTGGGCTTCTGCCATCCACTCCATTTGGAGTGTACGATACCACTTCATGGAAGCAAAGTTTATACACAATACAATCCAGCCATCTTAAGGGTACTGTTCAGTGAGACTTGACCAATGCACAACCATGTAGCTCATGTGAAGAACATGTCTGTGACCTCCAAGGGTGCCCTGGGCCCTTTCCCAGTCTCACCTCAAGCCAAGACGACAATGGGTTTACTGTGTGCCAACGTACGTTCCATTGCTCTTTAGAGTTTGGTGTGCGTGGCAGTAGGGTGACAGATAAGGCACAGTCCCAGTGTTCCCAAACCACACAGCAGGCCATGGTTCAAGTCCATCGAAAGTCTCAAGGTCGGCAGAGCATGGCAGGCTGCTGAACGACCTGGCTACATGCAGGGTTCAAGCGTGCCATAGGCTGGAGACCTTCCTCAAAGTTGCTTCTCGTATACAGGAAGCAGCCCACATCCCTAAGGCAGCTCCTCAGCTGCTCCGGGAGATTCCACCATGGAGTGGATGACCATTCCCACCATGGGGAATAACCACATCCAGCTGCCCAGCCGCTCAACCCGCCCAGCCAAGTTGACACACACACATAACCACCATGGTTGCCTGTTTATGCCTGTAGGGTCTGTGGTGCTAGCTCCTCTTTTCTTTCTGCTATTGCTAATTTTTATCGTCTTGTTTTTGTCCCTGATTACTCTGACTGGAAGTTTATCAATTTTATTGATCATTTTAAAGAACCAGAGTTTAGATAATTAGAAAATTATCTCTACCCAATTTTGAGTTAATTGATATCTGCTCTTCTTTATTATTTCCTTCCTTCTGTTTATTTTGGGTTTAATTTGCTTTTGTTAGATTATT